TTGCTTCTAAAGGTGAGAGGATGAATGGGTTTCAGGTTGCCATCTTACGGTTTGGTAAAATCCTAAAGTTTCCCAGAGCTCAGATGCATGAGGTAGAAGAAAGCGGTGCATTGTTTCCACTGCCCCTGGTGTTTACAGGGCTACCTTTGCTTCAGAGGGCATTATTTCAATATAAAATTAACTCAACAGAACATATAATATGCAACTAAATGTCACAGAGACAATGTTACATTAAAAAGGATACATTATGGCAGCCAAGTTATGGAAACTATGGAGGTGTCCATCAACAGGGGAGTGGATAAAGAGTATGTGGCATTTAGAAGAAAACTGACACAAGTGGACAGGACCCTAAGGAGGAAATTATCACATTTTCTCTCAAATGTAGCTCTTAGTCTTTAAATCCTTTTTTTTTTCTTTTCTTTTCTTTTTTCTCTCTTTTTTCTTTTTTTTTTCTGAGACAGGGTCTCTCTGTATAGCCCGGGCTGTCCTGGAACTCACTCTGTAGACCAGGCTGGCCTTGAACTCAGAAATCCGCCTGCCTCTGCCTCCCAAGTGCTGGGATTAAAGGCGTGCGCCACCACCGCCCGGCCGCTCTTAGTCTTTAAACAAATACAGGGTGTCATTATGTCTGTGGCGTGGAAACAGGGTGTCTATGGGAGGAGCTAAGGAGACCAACTGGAAGAGGCGTTGAAGAGAGGTATGTACCAGAGCACAGGTCCACGGAGTACACTCACACAAGAAGCATGAGCGACAAAAACATCAAACAGAGTGGGGATCACAGGCTGAGCTTTTGATGCTGGTGGGTGTGGCCGCCACCAAGAGCACTTCAAATTCTAATCAGTGCAACAAGGGTAAAAGCTGCCTAAGCCGTATGACAAACTGCCATCACCTGGAGGAGGTCTGCGTTACTGGAGAACTCAAAGGATCAACCAAAGTCATGGCCTGATAAAACTGCTATGAGAAAATTACACTTGGCTATTAATGAATCCAGAGTCAACCTTTTCCTGTGCTGCTATGCGGGACAGCAAAGGGAAGATTCTCCAGAGTGTAACAAGTGATCTTGAAGCACACCCGCAGGTGGAGAGGAGCCCACATCTTCCAAAGGAGCACAAGTGGAAGCTCACTGTAGCAGGTAACAATGCTGAAAATACAGTTTCCAGATGCAGTGGGGTGATAGACACTCCAGCCCTTACAAAACATCCAAAACCTGTACAGGAAACAGATACTCAGACAGGAACCAGACCTGGAGGCACACACACACCTGTAATTCCAGCACTTTGGACACTAAGGCAGGTCACAAGTTCCAAGGCAGCCTAGGCTACAGATGTGAGTTCCAGGCCAGCCTGAGCCACAGAGTGAGACCTCGTTGTCTCCAGAGAGTGAAGTTAAAATAAACTTGTATATGGAAGAATCAAAACCAATTCACCCAACTGACCAAAGCAATAAAAACAGAATGACACGCCCTTGACACAGCGACCAATGCAGAAACTGAGAAAGCTCTGTGAGTTTGAGGCCAGCCTCGTCTACACAGCGAGCTTCAGGCCAGCAGGGACACACACTGAGACCCTGTCTCCAGAACAAAACAGCAAACACTTACAGAATGCTACTTTTTTAACTTACTCGGCTGAGTTTTACAATCTAATATTAATGCCTCATGCTGGTGCGTGTGAGGAAGCAAAGCCCAGGCATTCTTGGTGAGACTAGGGCAGACACAGTCTTCATGAGAGCAATTTGCCTGAGTGCTAGAAGATTCAATAAGCTTTTCCCAGACAAGCTCGTGTCTTGTAATGTAACCCAAGGAAAAGATAAAACGTAATGAAGCTTTCAACGGCTAAGCTCCTGTGGTACTGTCTCACGTTCTGTAATTCCAAAACACCTGCAACCCCTAAATATGTAACGTCGAGAGGGACAGGAGGGTGAAATGATTATGAAGAAGACTTTACGTTCGGGAGAAAAAGATACATGGAAAAGACTAAAAAACAATCTTATAAAAGGGTTTCAGCTTTGATTTGAATTGACACAAACAAAACTGCATATGGCTAACAGTGTGTCCGAAATGTTAACAGTATGGTGGGCAAAGGCTTGGTTACCTTCATGCATTTCTATGTAATTGTTCAAAACAAATATTATCTTTATAAAAATAAAACTCTTACTACGTCAGCATAACATAGCAGATATAACAGCATCTCAGCCGTTTCCTGAAGACTCCTTGTGTTTATGACCAGCTCCTGTCTTAACTTACAGAGACCTGGCATCGATTAAGACAGCACTCACTCCTGGTTGCTAAGCAGCGTCTTCACATCTCAGTGAACTAAACACCTGAGGGAGAAATTGTGTGCACATGCTCACAACGAGCCCCGCCTGTGCCTGGGGCTTCTGGAGGTGTTGCACATCTAAGAATCCCAGACGTGCCTGTTAGAACTTTGGGCCTAAACAAAACATACACTGTTGTGCTGGTTCCCTTTGACTAGTCCTCTAAGTTCTGACACAGTGAACCCCAGGCTTATCACTCAGCAGTTTTCAACAACATAGAAATAAGGACTTTTAGTTTATCACATATAAGGTAAACAACGGCACCAAAAAAAAATCCCTTAAAGATTCAGAATGGGCTTGGAAGAGAGTAGTTATCTGGCACTCACAGGGTCCTGGGGTCGCTCCTTCACCTCATGTGAAGAGGAGGAGAAGCTAAGAGAGACTCTGTGTTCACAGCACCCATAATATGGGAACAATCCAAGTGTCAAATTAACAGCAGGGAACGACAGCAGATCTGAGTGTTGTGTTGACTGAAATAACCCACAAGGACACACTGTATGATCTTGCTCAGACCTGGAACCTGGAAGTCGAGCGGATGGAGGCACAGAGATGGCTTGGCACCCACCAATGTGGAGATAAAGCAAGAAGGGAACATAGTCAGTCACGTGGAATGAACAAATCCAGAGTTCTTGGATGCAACAGGAAACCATGGTCAGAGCTGTCATATTGTATATCTGAAGTTTGCTGAGAGAGTCCATCTCAAATGTTCTTGACAAAAGGAAAGGAAGAATTAGTGGGTGCTACTATTTGTCAGGTACAGAAGCAGAGTCATGAGCCAAAAATTCAGAGCGGTGCCAAGAATCTAATATCACATTTCAAGAACACGGAAGCTAACCTAAAGCTCCAGAGGAAAACAAGAGAGACACAGAGGTCCACAGTAGCCTGGGAACAGAAGGCAGACTCTCGAGTGACATCAAGCAGGAGTCTGGACCTGTAGCAAGAGGCATCAGAATGAGTTGAAACCAGAAGAGGAAAGCTTAAAGTTGTTAGAATCATTAACATGGCTAACTCGGGGAGGAAGTGAATGGTAGAGTTCAACTTGGAAGAGAATACGGTGTCCGAATGGTGTCGCTCAGTGAATGACCAAATTCTACTCCTGGTGGAAGGAAAGTGAAAGACAGAGGGAGGGCTCCACAAGCATCATAGCACCTAAATGCATCCCTTCCTCCCACAGGGGGACAGAAGGAAATGTATTTAAAGCTAGCCTTGAAAGGGACTGTCTTCTGCAGACAGGCCGGGTTGTGGGCTTCCCGATGGGCAGGTCTGAGCTACTACAGCAGTGGACATGTCAAGGACCAGGACGGTGGCACGTGCCTGTGCAGGTGGCCACGACATGGGCAGAGAGCTGGGGAGAGGGACCAGGCACTGGTGTCACTCGGGGGCCCCTCTGCTTTCATATCAATCATTTCTTAAGAACACACTGCACACTGAAAGTTCCCACAATATAATCCCAGGTGATAGATAACCCCAGAGACAGAGAAACCACAGCACCGAGGAGACCAAGGGATGGCTGCACATCAGAGGATAACTTGGCAGGAGGGGGGGACAATAGGTTCTCTCCTTCTACCAAGTGGTCTGAGGGATGGAACTCCAGTTGTCAGGCTTGGCTGCTCCATCCTGAGCTGCCTCGGTGACGGCTTTCCTTCCACTTGGTACAGGGTCTCACTGAGCTGTCCAGGACAGTCTCTTGCTTCTCACTGGATTGATCTTCCTGCTCCATCTTGCCAAGGAGCTGGGACTACAGGCTCTCCCTCTCTGCATGTCCGATATTTTCAAATGCTGTTTTAAAACCCATAGTTCTTTCTAGCATTGGCGCCCGGTGATGCCCCAGAAACCTGAAGTTGCTGGGTTGCTTAAATGATGTAATTGTAATAACATCCCATTGTAAATGTCCAACCAGCAACTGTAGCTGAACATATGAGCTAACTTATAAACGTATCCTTCTCTCCGCTTTCACCCTTTTCTATCCTGTCTATTAATATGATAAATGCCATAATTTATAAAACTTCATGGAAAGCGGCCATGGAATCCCAGGCACTACACCAGCGCCTCACGTATGTTATACATGACCCTACACACCAAACAATGCAGGAGAATGGCAATCTGTCACCGAGCCCTGAGTAAAACAGAAGATAGGAAGGTGGCCCCACAGCCAGGAAGTGCAGCTACGACTCAGGGCTGGGTGCACCTGAAACTCAAGTCTACCCTCTGCCTAAGGGCAGACAGCATGGCCTGTCCCATCCATGCTGGATATCAACTTTCGAAGAGAGTCACAGTCGACACTGCAAGTAGGTCTTCACTGTGACATTTGTCTCTCTCTGTAAACTCAACAGGCTTCTCTCAAATGAAGAAACGAATGAAGGAGGGGCAGTCATAACACTAGGACACAAACAAAGCTCGCCTGAGCTAGTGTGTCACCAGGTTCAGTTCCCTGCTAGTTTGCCTGTGAGTTTCATGGTACAACTGAAGGGACTTAGACTGAGGTGCCTGAGCAGGCTGCTTGCTCTGAGGACCTTCTCTGTACATACTCAAAGACTAAGCAATAGACATTCAATACCTGACAGGGCACGAGAGGCTCAATTATTATTTACTTCTGAAGATGTTAAGGCGCCCCAGACGCTTCCTGCACAGATAAAGGGGTTCTGCATTTCTGAAAATGGAGTTTGGTTTGCAAGTGAGTTTCGTACCTCCCGGTCCTTGAGCTTCATGGCGAGCACCAGCTGATGCCTGTGGTTTGTGAGGGCCTCTCGGTAATTCCCCTTGGAAAAGAATGCAGAGCCTAGGTTCCCATGAGCTCGGCATTCTCCGGTCTGGTCACCTGATTTGGATTTAAGGAGAAAAATTCTCTAAGTTACAGTGTGCATGGTTCTCTTAAAAGCCACAAATTTACTAGCTAGGATTTAAGTTACTTTCTTTTAGACTCTATATAGGGAGATAAGATCCTAGAAGCTGACTCTGTGGACAAATGTTACGGCTGTAACACACGTGCACAGCGGGCAGAGGGGTCTTGGAGGGAGGGTGCAGACTGGGACATGAACCAGCTGCTGTTGGGAGTCTCCTCCTCGCTTTGCAGGTGACCTTTGGTTCTGAGCAATTATCAGCTTGCTGGTTCAGCCATTTGACTCTGGGCCTCCTCTCATACATCACTTCTCTATGAGTATCTGATGGCAGATCCCACAGCCCTCCTTCCTGTAACCTGAAAGTCCCTGGATAATCAGTACAGTGATGGCCACGGTCACAGACATGCCTCCTCTTCTCCCCTGCATGGAGGCAGGAGGCTCATAGGATAAAGGCTGGCCTGGGGTAACATACTGAGACCCTGCCCCCCACAACAACAAGAAGCAAAGTCCCAAGCCCTCAGGTAGCTGAGACATCATACCATCATCTGGTTCCACAATGCATGTTCTGAACCTCGATACTATGCTGGGCCCACTCCTCACCCTGCTTCTCCTGTTTCATTTGAGACAGATTCTCACTCTATATCCCTGGCTGGCCTGGAACTCACAGAGATCCACGTGCTTCAGCCTCTCAGTGTGGTCTACCACACCTAGCCTGTGCTGTGCTCTTTGACAAACCTTGGTGTACTCTCATAGATTAAATTAAAATGAAGTTAAGTCACCCACAGAACCAGCACTTGGGGCCTTAAAACTGTGAGCCGGAAAACCCCGGGGAAGGTTATGAACATGCTAATCACATCTCAAGGCCTCCTGGGAGCCTTGGACCCTTGCTGTATGAAAATCCTCAAGACCCGAGGCTCTAAAGCTAAATGTTCTGTTGCATATTTCGATTCTGTAGAAATCAGGGCATGCAGGTAACATGCAGGCGGGACACATACCTAAGGTCTTGGCTACGTCCAAGTCTTGCTGCATGTACCCAGTGCTCTTCTCTGTGTTCCCGAGAGACCAGTGTGCACTGCTCAGGGCGGAGAACACAGACCCTCTCAGTTTGAGGCTGCACGTGCCAATCTTCAGAGCAGCTTCTAAGACAACCACGGAGGCCCCGTGGTGTCCGGCTGTCAGGAGTTCCTGCCCAACCACAGACACGACCACAAAGGGACTCTTGTCCAGTTTCATTTTCTGAAGCTGCTGGTAAGTGGGCTCCAGGGTGTCTGAAGAGAAAGAAAACAAGCGAATGAAGACTGGCAGGCACAGGGGGGCTTTCTGTTATGCACTAGAAACATGTCTGTGGCCTGGTTCACGCACAAACTCTCCACCCTGGTACCTCGCACCAGGAGATGGCACCCGCACCCTACAACCAGCCACGCCCCCATCCAGCAACACCTTCCCCCCTGTGGGCGTGGCCACACAGGCTCTCTTCCGGCTTTCATGGCTGACATGCAGCACATTTCCTGAAAGGGTCTGGTCTATCTCGCTCCTCCTCAGAACACCACGAGCCACGATTCCACCCACCCTCCACTGGGTACCACTCTCCAGCTGATTACTGTACAGTTTAGCTATCAGCTCTTTTAGAATTGTTCCACGTGTGCTCAGTAGAAATATTTTCCAGATAAACCTATTGCTTTCTGTAAATGAGAATCCCTTGAACGCAGCTGCATCTCGGAGGCTGACTGGCTCATTAAAAATGTGATCACCAGAGGGGCTGGAACACTGAAGGGCCAGTCCCTCGTTACAGTCTGTCTTGGACCATCTTTAGCTTAGTAAACGCCCATTCGCCTGCCCTCTTTGTATCAGATCAAACACCCTGTTACCAACAGATAAAGCTGGACTTAATATCTTGACAAATGGATTTTTAAAAAGGACTTTTGGAATGTATAGTAAAACTGTAGATTTTTCACCAAAGAGCTGAGTGAGGGTAGTGTCAGGCCTCTGGCAGGGCTCTACCATCCCTACTGCTATCACCTGCCTTCTGGATGCACCGGCCAGTGAATTCAGAAAGCATCTTGATTCATGACTTTTCTTTGTTCTGTTACCATAAAAGGTTTATGAAACTGCTACCTGGAACATGGAATTTGGGGTAATCTAAATCTGTGTTCCTAGGCCGTCCTCACTCATATTTGGCTCCCAAATAAATTCTTTCTTATCCACTTTGAGGTGAGAGAGGTGTGGGGGGGGGGAGAGATTTTTGTTTGGTTGGTTGCTTTTCTTGGTCAATGATGCTTTTTTCTGAGTAGCCAAGTGTTACACTGCAGACCTGTGATAAAAATCCCATCTTCTGTCTCACTGGCGACTGAGGGTCTTGAGCATGCCTCTCGTCAAAAGCAAACAAATAATGAAACCTGCTCATAGTTTCTCCTAGAGGACGCAATAAAGGGTATCCACAAAATGAACACCATTCTCAAGGCTACCTCTGACACCAGCAAGCCAAGCCAGAAGGAAACCATCTCCTGCACCAGGGTGAGCTATAGTATGTACAACACACACACACACACACACACACACACACCCTCCAAAACACTGGCAAGTCAAGCCAGAAGGAAACCATCTCCTGCTCCACAGTGATATATCAGGTGGCAGAATGAATGTTTAGCCCATTTTATCTTCAAGTGGCAACAGTCAGAAGTGTATGTCAGAGGTCACTAAGCCATGTGGGGTTAGTTCCATTTAGGGGGCTGGATAAGGATGACAAGCTCCCACCCCACCCCTCCCGATTCTCTTTAGAGATAGTAAGAGTTCTGACTATGCCTCTCTTGGTCCTGAAACCTCCTTCACATTAGTGGTTCTGACAACCCACACATCAAGCCTGCAGCTATGTTGGTCTCTTTAAACCTCACCTCCTGGCCAAAGGCCAGGATTTATGACTTTTTAGTTCTCTGCTAAGGAGCTTTCTTGCCTGAGTCAACATCACCAGGGAAACCTTGAAGCTCACTGGTGCCTAAAGCTTTTCCCTTCAATCAGATCAGTAAACAGAGAACAAAGAACATTTTTACTCCTGTCAAGATGCAAGCAGCAGTGTGCTCCTAGGTAATAGCTGGCCAGTGGGGTTAAACGCTGGCAACAGAGAGCAGGAAGTGCTAACACAGAAGAGGGGTGTACCCCAGAATGCAGAGAGCAGGGAGAGCAGGATTCCTCACTCCTGCTGTGGGCCAGCAGCCAGTGGGGTTCAGAAGCAGCCCCTCACCTCCAATGAGCAAGACAGAGACAAAGACAGCAGCAGAACAGTCATTTCCAAAGATCTGGGCATTTATGATTCAGCTAAGGTTAATCAGACAGGGTCAGACACAAAATCAGAGTCCACTGCAGGGCTCCAGGCTACTGGGCGGACAGAGCGGGCAAATCTGATTCAAGTCACAGAGACCTTGGTGGATTTTAAGTAGAAACCACTGAGTTATGCAGTGGATGAACCATGGAGATGCAGCCTCCAGCTCTGGCAGAGACCTGCCACTGAGCACAACTCTCAGAGAAGGATGTTGCCACCCACCACAACAAATTCTATGTGGCCCTCTCTTCACTGAACCTGTATTTTCTGATTCAAAGGTGAGTGGGAGCATTGAGACTGGATGTTTCAGGTTTTATAGTGGAAGGCAGAAATCAGGTATTCCTGACAGACGAGGACGGTGCTCAGATGCCTGTCCTGAAATGACAGATGCAGGCATAGGCCCAAGGTTCAGAACAAGACAGTCTTTCCCATGGCAACTTCCCATGGCAACTGTGCAGCTCCTGAAACAGCAGCAGAGGTGACACTAACCGAAGACCGAGGTAAGGGGGCTGTCTAGAAACCCCCAAGAAGGGAGAAAAATCTTTACTTGGTCAAGTTTAGGGGTAGATGGGAATGAAAATAGGAAAATTATAAAGAAAAAAAGAGAATCCCCATTCAAAGTGGACAGAAAGAAAATACAAGTACATGAAGCACTAAATACCACTGAAAAGATAAATGTAAGGTGATGTGAGGTCCTGTTACCCAGGGTGCTCAAGCTTCAGCGAGTGCAGCTTTGTTAAAGGAGAGCTTTTAAACTATTTGCTGCTTTTAATCTGAGTGGGAGGTGCCTTAAGGGAAAGGACTGTCTTACACAGGGAGCCAGCGTGAGACACACACGGGTGAGAGGGATTCCCAACAGGCTGGTTTGAGCTGACCAGGCATTGTATGTAGTGGCGGAAGCTGATGTGGCTTAGTGGGAAGACGGTGAGCGATAGCTCAAAGAATATGTCTGTCCTTCAAAATTAACCTCACACGGCCAAGTGCACGGGCAATGGTTGTCACCACGGTTACACGCACACACACACACGCACACGCACACGCACACATATATATGCACACATGCGCATGGTTATGTGTGCACACAGACACCTATGTACATGTGTACATCTCTGCCTGTATCCTACTGCAATATACACAGAGTATCCACTTCACCATATTTAACTTCCTTTTTAAAGGTTATCAGTTTAAACTGAGATTACATCTCCTAGATCAACAGCCAGAATCTCTAGTCAGCAGTTGGGTTGAGAGGGGAGGGGGAGCTTGAGTTCAGGTTTTTCTATGTGGCCCAGGCTGGTCTCAAATTCCTGGCTGTGAGGCATTTTTCCTATCTTAACCTCCCAAGTAGGCAGGACCACAGGACCACAGGACCATGCCACTGTATCCAGCCAACTGTATTTCTTTTGATGAAAGGGATTGTAAGATGCTTTTTAAAAATCTAAAGATAATCTCTGAGACTCTTTCCAAGTCTGTTGCTCTAATTCCTGTTCTAAGATAAACTTGTGCCATCATCAGAGGGACTAATTTTGTGATTTTTAGCAGATTAGACAGAATAGAATTTTGGCAGCCTGTAGCTATTCAGATGTTTTTCTTTCTAGAATTTATGCATAATACATGAAATAACCGGCGTCAAACCAATTCCATAGGAATACAAAGGCCCTTTGCAACACTGACCGAGCCCCTGCTGTAGGTTTTTGAAATGTAAAGTCCTTGGGAATTTAAGAAGAATGAAGTCACAGTTCCTGACACTCCAGGAGCTTGTGAGAATGTAGCAGAGGCTGACAGTAGCCAGTTGGCTGCCCTCTGCTAAGAGGCATGCCACACTTGGCAGCTCTGAGATCACAGCTCTCCACACTCCACACCTTGACTTCAGTGGTGCCTCACACTGTCCAGGCACTTGTACAGCCTAACATCCACAAGTAAGAAGTTGAGCAATAAGGAGGGACTGTGTGAGCATCTGACGCATCAGGATCTGCCCAGTCTAGAAGCAGATGATGCAGTTCCCAGCCAGAGTTCTGAGAACTGTCATACCCAGGGACCCTAAGTGGTCCTAAGGCCAGCACTTCACAGAGGAAATGGCATACTGGAAATCACAGGGTTGTCTAGGAAGCCATGTGACTGAGACTGGAGCATGACTTCCAGTGAGGATACATGAAGGAAGGGGAGCCTGGGTACCGTGTGAGCACCAGGAAAGGAAGAGTGCCATCTGCAGAGGAGAAGGCTTCTGCAGGGCCTGCCTCACTCCTATAACTCCTGGAACATTATGGGATGGGCATCATCCTTTCCCCCTTACAGAAAGGCTGGGCAGAGGAAGGAAAGCCACCTTGGTGTCCATAAGCTAGCAAACAGTGTCACCGGGACATGATCCCTTTCTTGTGAGAAGAAAATCCATGTTCCTCATATAACATTCCCAAAGCAGGACTCTTTTGAAAAATGGCTGGGCCTAAAAGAGCCCCTGAGGGAGGGCGTTCACAGAGGGCAGACACAGACACACAGTGAAGGGGAGGCCTTCGAACTGAGAGAGAAAAGCCTAAGCATTTGCCAGCCACTTTCGAGGGGCACTTGATAAAGCAGTCTCCATGGATCCATCCAGAGTTGATAGAATCACAACGGGTGATAGACAGCTCACAAAGGCGACCATCTTTAGATGAGTGAACTTATGGAAGAGAAGGGAGAGATACACAGGAGTCCCCAGCACTGTCCCTTGGAGAATGGCTGTTGGTGGCCTCATTCTGCAGCTGTGTTTCTGAGCCCACAGCAGGCACAAGCCCCTCAGCATTCAAATCCCTTAAGCATCTACACAACACAAAAAGAGTGGCTCAGAAAAAGAGCAAAATAAGCCCGGATGACAAAAGACCGAGACGTCCTCTCAATCTATATTTACTTTTATATTTTGTTAATGGTTTAAGAGAGACACATGTATTCTGACATGGCCATAAAGAGATACATTGTGAAGTAATCATAGAGAGAAAAATGTATTGTGACATAATCATAAAGAGATACATGTATTGTGATGTAATCATAGAGAGATACATGTATTCTGACATGGCCATAGATACATGTATTGTGACGTAACCATATCCACAAAAAAGTTTACTCACAATTGGTTTGTGTGCGTGGGTGAAATGATAAAAATAAATCAGACAGTTCAGTTAGGAGACTAGAGAACAATAATAAAAATCAAATTAATTTTAATATGGATAGGGTTAGTATATTTATATAGGAAAAAAAGTGTATTAATATAGGCTGGTCCTTCCTTTTAAAAGGAACTCTTTCTCTTTGTAGTCCTGATTGAACTCAGGACTCAGTACATGTTTGGCAAGCGTGTTCTAGTGCTGAGCCATATTCCCAGCCCTAAGATGAAACCTTGCCTTTAAAAATAAAAAGACCAAACTGGGGCTGGAGGGATGGCTCACTGGTTACAAGCATTTGCTACTCTTCCAGAGGACATGGGTTCAGTTCCCAACATCCACATGGCAGCTGACAATCACCTATAACTTGAGTTCCAAAGGACCCAATACCCTCCTCTGGCCTCAAAGAGCACTGCATACATGTGATACACAGACATACATGCATACAAACAAAATACCCATAAAAATTAAAACAAAAAATTGTGCGCACTCTTTCATGTCATGTTGTTTACAGAAGCACCTGAGCTAGGGAGGCTTTTAGGTTTGTTGGTTTGGTTTTTTTTTTTTTTCTGTTGTATTTCAGAATTACAAAACAAGCCAGGTAACATGGCACATAATAGGGAGGTGGGAAGAACAGGATTTTAAGGCCAGCCTTAGCTACCCTGTTGGTTAGAGACCATGACACCCTGACTCAACAAACAAACAAATTAAGACAACAAGAGGACACAGCAGATCAGATCTGTCCAAACCACAGCCTTGTGCCTCAGTGTCAGAAATTCAGAGAGACGTAGGACCATGACACTGAATGTAAAACACAAGGAGCAAATAGCAATGGTTCTGAGAGCCACAACCGCACACCACAGAGCAGGGCTTCTGGGATGCAGGAGGGTGTGCAGGACCACAACTTATACAGGCTGAAGAAGGCTGCTCGGAACAGGCCCACCAGAGCAGACAGAGGGGGAAGGGCAATGCTAAAGGGGCTCATAAAGGGCTTTAGGCACCTATAAGAAGCAGGTATTTCTCCAGGGTCACTCACTGCAAAATTGGAAGGGGGTCCCTGAGGGTGACAGCTGCCCTGATGCCACAGGAAGTATTTATTTAAAACAAAACAAAACATTTTTTTCAACAAATTGTTTCAAAGCCAAACAGTGCCATTCTGCAGATATGAACACATTTGGTGCAGCATCCAAGCTGCCTCTGGATGAACTGGTGTTGTCTTCACGGACTAAATAAAAATGTTCTGTGTACACTCTTTAAAAGGTGTTATCCGCCGGGCAGTGGTGGCGCATGCCTTTAATCCCAGCACTTGGGAGGCAGAGGCAGGCAGATTTCTGAGTTCGAAGCCAGCCTGGTCTACAGAGTGAGTTCCAGGACAGTCAGGGCTATACAGAGAAACCGTGTCTCGAAAAACAAAAACAAAACAAAACAAAACAAAAAAAGGTGTTATCAACAATTGGAGAAGTTCTTCAGGGAAAGGAAAGGGAAAAAAAAGAAAGAAAATTAAAAAAAAAAAACTCTAGGAAATGGTAAAGAAGACAGGTGTTGGCTTACTCACTGTGTTCCACTAAAAGTCCTGGAGCCCCAAGTGGATTGCTCTGAATCACACTTTATTGACAGCAAGGCCCATTTTGGGGAAAGTCTTTAGTCCCTGAAGCAAAGACGTGACTTTGTGCAACTTACAAAACTGTTTGAAGAGAAGTTTCTTACCTCTTTCCCCTAAAGATAGGAAATGTCCAACTTTCAGGAAAATACCTTCTATAGAGAGAGAATTGCTTGGAGACAGGAGCACTGTCTGGTTCATCAGAGTTTTGTTTGGCACATACTTTGAGCCAAGTACAGTAATAGGCAGCAAATTAAAGTGCCTAATGCTGCAAACATGTAAAACTAGACAAAATGATACTGTCATCAAGACTTTCAGGTTCATTATCTAGAATAACTAATTAAAACTCAGACCATTTATATGGCAAAGAGAGTTCTGCTTGACATAAGCTATGGGCATAAGATGTCTACAGGCCACAGATTCGCTGTCATGACAGATGACAGTTGGTGTGTTTTTTCATCAAATATGTCCCAAATGCTCATTCGTCAAAGCTCAGTGAGTGCTACAATGTCTGCCCAGTACTCTTCAGATCCTGAGTAAGACTTCCTAGGACCACAGAATAAAAGAGAATGAAACCACTGCACTGCAGTGAAGACAATCAGCTCAGGGCTATGGAATTCCTCCAGCCTTGCACTGTATCATCTCCATGTGTTCTCTGTTTTCTCAGAAGACCGATCATAGAATGAAGAAACAAAGAAAAGTCTCCACCCTACTTTTCCTCTCCTTTCAGGGAGATGCGCAGCCTGTGCCTGTGCCTGTGCCTCGGCCTCTGCCTCTCTGCCTCTGCTTCTGCCTCTCTGCCTCTGCCTCTCTGCCTCTCTGCCTCTCTGCCTCTGCCTCTCTGCCTCTCTGCCTCTCTGCCTCTCTGCCTCTCTGCCTCTCTGCCTCTCTGCCTCTCTGCTTCTCTGCCTCTCTGCCTCTCTGCCTCTCTGCCTCTCTGCCTCTCTGCCTCTGCCTCTCTGCCTCTGCTTCTGCCTCTCTGCCTCTCTGCCTCTCTGCCTCTCTGCCTCTCCCTCTCTGCCTCTCTCTGCCCCTTTCTCTCTGCCCCTCTCTCTCTGCCCCTCTCTCTCTGCCCCTCTCTGCCTCTCTGCCTCTGCCACTGCCTGTTCAGATGTGAGATGCTGCCCGTGGCTACACACACCGCACACTAGCTTTAAGAAATACAAAAAAAAAGAACAAAGCAGACACGGTAGCTCACACCTATAATCCCACCAATCAGGAAACTGAGACAGTAGGATTGCTGTGAGTTCCAGGCCAGCCTGGACTACACAGTAAGTTCATGGTAACCTTGGCTACAGCATGAGATTCTGTCTGGAAGAAAAGAGGGAAGTGTGGCTGAGAATTCCTGAAGGAAGCTGGGATGCTAACAGGTTGGGAGGCCAATCACAACCTCTCTCTGGTTACATTTAGCCCCATACGGAGCCACTCCTGACCACCTCTGTGCCTCGCCTGATAAACAGATTAAACACTTGTGGGATGTACTAACTTAACTGCCGTCCATCAATGGACAGGCTGAAGAAGTTATCAAGCCACCTCTGAAGCCATAGTTAAGAACCTCTCACATCCTGCTGCAACCTACCTCTCTGGTATTTCTACCAAGGTGATTAATTGACTGTAAGTTTTCATTCTTTGTTCTCTTACTGTAAAGCTCCATAGAACCGCATCCTCCCTGGGAAGTTTGGAAGGGGGTAATCTAAACTGTGTTCCGAGGCTCCAGATAAACTCTCTCTCAATCCCGTTGAATTAATTTCTGTGTTTCACGTGGAAGGGAGGAAGAAGGAAGGAAGGAAGGAAGGAAGGAAGGAAGGAAGGAAGGAAGGAAGGAAGGAAGGAAGG